ATTAACTGAATCTTAGGATTGGATACTGAATGACGAGGAGAGGGAAGTCCGACGAATCAAAATAGAGACCAAACGCCAGAAGCGGAAGTATAACGACGACAGCAATAGTTATATCGACTCTTCCAGCAATTTATCCCCTGAACAGTCAAATTCAGGCCACAATTATGCCCACAAAGACATCAATAGCATCAACACAAACACCTGTTCCCCACCAGACGTCAAGAACACCATAACCAATGATGACTCTGGCAATGGATCCAATATATCCAATTTACACGGTATGGAAGTGGAAGTGCTTTCACCACACATTAGCCACATATCAACCGATGATAATAACACCGATGCCGTTGTGTCTGACAACTTGTCTGTCGTACCGGTTGGGCGATCGATCACTGACTCTGACACTAACTCAAGAGGTATGGAAGTGGAAGTGTTTGAGCCAAAATCATCAGAAGATGATATCAACAATTTGATTAAGTTTGACGACTGGCCTGTCGTACCCATTGGGCGACCCATCACTGACTACAACAACGGCTTCAACGAGAAAGAGTACAATAGTCTCAATGAGTTGTTGGCGGCCACCAGTCATTTGCAGCGAAACTTCATACCATTTGTCACGTCAGAGCCCACCGTTTCCGAGGAATGCGCCAGAATTTTGTTCACTAAATGCGAGAAAGATATCCCAAAACTGGTGAAGATGTGTAAGAGTTTGCGCGGATTTAACACTGTCTGCGACTCCGACCAGATCTCACTCCTCAAGTTGGGGGGACTGGAGATGATTTTGTTGCGCTCAATCATCACCTATGATAGTCTCACCGATAGTTGGATTGTGTTCGAGGTATTTATATTCATTAGCTTAAGTTTATCGCATAATTAACTCAATATTTAGCTATTAGTTAATAGTTATAAATATGGTTATGTAGGATAACACCAAATCCGCGCGCGTGAGCCTTAAATTATGGCGATGGACTAAACCTGAACCTGGTATTTCAAATCATGGATTTTACCACATGCACCACAAGTATATATCAAATATGATGGACATATGGGACGGCGATCCCCTTACTCTCGATTTGGTACCCAATATAATCTATAATTTATTCTTATCATACGAATTATTATTAATTAATTGTTTAGTTAACATTGATATTGCTGTTTAATCCGAACCGACCTAACCTCACACATAGGGATACCGTTAAGTAAGTGGCGAAATGGATCCAGATGTCTACTACATTGTATAAAAATGATAATTTTGTTTTATGTAGACTCCAGCGACAAATGTACATTCATTTATTGCAACGATATTTACATTTAAAATATCGGTCTGAATGCGAGGCAAAGTTACGGCTAATGAGACTAATGAGTAGTTTCGAAGACATCCATGAGCTGGGCATATGTCACGCCAATGCCTTCATGGTCAGGCATGCCATCAAAAATGAAACACCACTTCTCAGTGAGATTTGTGATACAAGGCCCGCATATCAGTCAAGTGTTTTGTGATGCATTTGTAAATTGTAAATAAAATTGTAAAAATCATTTTAACAGACGATAATATATTGTGAAAATTTATTCCTTAAACCACAAAAGTGTTACAAATTGTACAAAATACCCCGGTTCTTATTATAAAACAAAAACGTTCGAGTTCTAATAGCCTTGTTATGCAATTACTGTTTTAACTTTATTGGTAGTAACAAAATTTTAAATATAAATTATAAACAGGGTATGAAATCAATCAAACATAGTTTATAATTCTGGAAGTGTTCACATCAGTCGTGAAAATATCCGGGTCATAAATATACAAATATACACTGTACCGAAAAAATGGGATGATACCTTCTTACACCTGATTTTATTATCAATTTCAATATTAATATAATTAAAATTATTTAATTTTACAATTTATAGGGCCGCATACTCACTGCCCATATTTGAAAGGATTAGAGACATTAGGTAATCACATGATAATAATAATGGTATAAAATTTGCTAATCAATCAGTATTTATCAAATTTTGCGGAAAACATTGAAAATATTTGTGCACATCTGTAATTATAACTTAATTTAAAATATCAAAACATGTAACATTATTATAAAAATTAACGTATTCATATTAGGTTCACAATGAGCTCATACCAAGTTTTATAAGCTTTACCTGAATTATTAGCGATATATAAAATAGCTTATTTTATATTACTTTACTATCTCAAGATATGTATGATTTAGGAAACATGTTTTAAACTCATGCCTATTGTTAACAATGTTTCATAACTTTTATTGTGCTTTATTTTATAACAAATACAATATAAAATATTGTATGTTTTATAGCATTATTGGGGAAACCGGGAAAGACTTATTCACTGTAATTATAATGTATTCAAGAATTTATATACAAAACTATTATACAGCAATTGTATAAGCTATGTATAAGCAATTGTTTACGAGGGCTAACACTTCAATGGGTCTGAAAACTAATAATATATACATTTAAGTAAATTTTATTTTCAATAACCTATTCATAGACATTCTCAACACTTCCCGTATATTTAGTTATACAGCAATAATAAACAAGAATTTCTATTTATTTTTGATGATATTTTCTGACATACATTTGTTATATAAATTAACATATAATAATAATAATATAAGTTCATATGATAATAATAAAAGCCGGTTCACATGGACTTATATTAGTCTAGCTTAAGTACAATTATTTGGACTAAAGTGAATGTAATACTGTATTTTCAAAATATTTTACTTATTAATAGGCAGACAATTCGTTGTTTATATATTATATATACAAATACATTTTGGCATTAATAAAAAATAGATTATTTTTTTTGAAACGCTAGTGAAATAATGCTAAAGAAAAATGACTTTTTAATTATCTTATAATAAATGCAAGAAAAGAAAACAATTAATGTAATTACCTTTAATGTGTTTATGTCATCATTAAAGTCAACTACAATTTATATGTTGTTTGCCATTCAATGCGTTCATAACTTATAATCATGCAATGCTTTCTCGATGGCATTGATTACACATGGTATCTACAAATCGATAAAAAATATAATATAATGAGAGCCTTGAAATTATAAACCCCCTAATGATTTCATAACTAAATACTAGAAGTTACTAATTATTGTTTGCTCACAGTGTATATACAAAAGTGCTTGTATACCAAAAGCCATGTATTAAATTATCAATGAATAAATAGCAAATTCTGGAAAACAGTCAATACATACTATACTACTGTGTATAACAATATAAAATTTATTTTTTTTAAAACTTGTTTTAAAAGTATAATTTTTTCTAAACACTAAACTCCACTTATAAAAGGCTTTTACAAGAGTATAATGTAGTGGTGATTGTGGTAATTGCAGAGAACCTGCGCACCACTATATTATCCTCGTAATTTAGGTTTTTATCCATCCCTATCCCATTGTACAGTATATTATACATAGCTTTTCTAAGCATATTCAGTGTATTCAACATAGTTGCTGTTGTAGTTTAAATCTGTGTTTTTGACTAGTAAATAACAATTTTATTTTTGTTATCGATCTGTTTAAATATAACTATATTGTTTGTGATTAATTATATTAAAATCAATAAGTTTCAAAGTTCATATTAATTTTTGCTATATTAATATTTATTCAGCGTTTCAAGGTAAGTTCGAAAAATGTTTGTGTAATAATATTCAGTAATATACAGTGCTGGAAATACGAAAATTGTATAACTAACTGGATACAGTACTACGAAATAGTAAATTAGATACTGAATATAACAGTTGACTACACATGTATGAGATTGAGTGCATGTATCCCAGTATGCCTATGGATTCCCATAGCAATGATTTATTTAAAACATTTTTATCGATCTGGGTTTTATTTATAATGTTATAAGAAAGTTTCACTTCTTATAAATAATTGTTTATTCAAATTTCATTTTTCTCTCTATTAATAGTAAGCAATGAATTAATATCACACATATTGTGCGCTTATATATTGTGTCCCCGTACGAAACCATGTCAAACAAATTGAAAACATGTTTGGTTTGTGGCGATAAATCTATTGGTATGTTATGTTATGTATCATTTATAAATTATAAACAATTATTATCTAATTAACTAAAAATAAAGTAAGCCATTGTTAGTGTATAATAATTTATAATTGTACAATTGATTTTCATTCAAGTAAAATACAGGTGTTTTATTATATTTGTTAGATGCACAAACAGTTAATTAAATAACAAATTTATTAAATTATGAATTTTTAAAAATATTTTCCGAAATTCCGGACTTAACAATTGATTTTCATTCAAGTAAAATACAGGTGTTTTATTATATTTGTTAGATGCACAAACAGTTAATTAAATAACAAATTTATTAAATTATGAATTTTTAAAAATATTTTCCGAAATTCCGGACTTAAGGCAAGAATTTCGGTGCCGTTTCGTGTGAGTCGTGTAAAGCATTCTTCCGGAGAAATGCGGCAAAAATTGATGTAATTATTATAAATAATTTAAATTAAATAAATGTATTAAAATCATTTTCATCATTCAAATCCTCTAATAACAGGAATATATCTGTTATTTCAACGATAGCTGCAAAATAGATTTGATTACCAGAAGATTTTGTCGCACGTGTCGACTCAAAAAATGTTTCGCAGTCGGGATGAGACAGGTATTGATTGACATATTTTTAATAGTCTATAAATATTAAGGAAATTAATTGAATCTTAGGATTGGATACTGAATGACGAGGAGAGGGAAGTCCGACGAATCAAAATAGAGACCAAACGCCAGAAGCGGAAGTATAACGACGACAGCAATAGTTATATCGACTCTTCCAGCGATTCATCCCCTGAACCGTCAAATTCAGGCCACAATTATGCCCACAAAGACATCAATAATATCGACACAAACACCTGTTCCCCACCAGACGTCGAGAAAACCACAAACTTTGATGTCTTTAACGAATCGGACTCCCGAGGAATGGAAGTGCTTTCGCCACACATTAACGACATATCAGACGATGATATCAGCGATTTGATTGAGTTTGACAACTGGCCTGTCGTACCGGTGGGTCGACCCATCACTGACTACAACAACAACTTCAACGAGAATGAGTTCAGTCGTCTCAATGAGTTGTTGGCGGCCACCAGTCATTTGCAGCGAAACTTCATACCATTTGTCACATCAGAGCCCACGGAGTTTTACGACTGCGTCCACACTATACTAAACAAATGCGAGAAAGACATCCCAAATATGGTGAAGATGTGTAAGAGTTTGCGGGGATTTAACACTGTCTGCGACTCCGACCAGATCTCACTCCTCAAGTTAGGGGGACTGGAGATGATTATGTTGCGGTCCATTGTCACCTATGATGGTCTCACCGATAGTTGGATTGTATACGAGGTCTTTATAATTGTTATTTTAGTTTACAATTAATAAGAAGTCACTTTATTGTTATACTGTATGCTATATAAAACTTATATCTAATGTCTAAAGTATAAATCTTATAGGATGATAACAAATCGTCTCGGGTTAGCCTGAATATGTGGATAAAAGACCCTGATCCTACTATAAGTGTAGGCCTGTATGAAGAACATAAGAAATATATAACAAATATGATGGACCTATGGGATGGCGATCCCCTTATTCTCGATTTGGTAAATACAGTATAATATTCAATAAAGTTTACCACAAACTAAATATAATCATTACTAAATTACATAAATTTATTAGCTATCAGCGATATTACTATTTAACCCGAATCGTCCGAATCTCGCTCATAAGGAGACTGTTAAGTGAGTATTAAAATTAATCTTGGACATAATGACTATAACTAAACATAATGATTTCATATTACGTAGACTCCAGCGACACATTTATATGCATTTATTGCAGCGATATTTACAACTGAAATATCGGTCCGAATGCGAGGCGAAGACACGGCTAATGAGACTAATGAGTAATTTTGCGGACATCCAGAGGTTGAGTGTACGACACGCCAACTCATTTATGATCAAACAGGCCCCGCAGGCCGACCCACCACTTCCCCTACTCAAAGAGATTTGCGATACGAAACCCTCGTATGAATTGATGGTTTTGTGACTCATTTGCTGAGGAATTGTTGAGAAATTGTTTTAAAAATAGAGGAAAATATATACATTTAATTCATTTGCAAAACATTATAAAGTGTTAATTATATTACAATGTATTTCAAAATATAATACTTGTTATACCCTGTATATTTTCAGTGCAATATTAATTCGTGTAATTTATATTTAAAAATGGTACAAAATATTATTATTTATACTATACTTAGTATAGTATACTATACTAGTATACTATACTAATATACTATGTATACTATACTATCATCGACCATGTTTAGCATAAACATTATTTTTTTCCACCACCAGTGACCTCTAAAACATGCCATTAATTTGATTCATTTATTACTCGTTATTATAATTATATTTTTATGATTTTTTGTTTTGTGTACCATATAATCATCAATAAAAGTTTTAAACATGTTTTTATAAAATAATTCATAATTAATTGATTTTCGACAAACAAAAAATCATAAGTTTTAATGTGTTTAGCAACGCATGAATTGGTCATCTAATAGGCGCACCGGTATTCACATCCCAGTCCTCCCAATCACCCCCTCATTCTCATATACTATAGACAGGGAGTTAAACAAATAAATGGGTTCGTGTTTGCTATGAATAAATGTGTCTGATTATAATGACTTTTTT